AGGCAAGAGGATTGCTTGAACCCAGGAGTTTGAAGTTGCTGGGAGCTAGGCTGACATGCCACAGCACTCTAGCCTGGGCAACAGAGTGAAACTCTTGTCTAAAAGAAAAAAAAATTAGTCATGGCATTGGGTCAAACAGTATTTATTGAATGTAAAGTAACCCCAGCCCCATGGGGAAGGAAATTTCCAAGGAGAATGGAGAATAATACAGATTAAATACCCACCTGTGCATTCATACTCACTCTCACACAACACACACACCACATACATATCTAAGCTCCAACAGTGATAAACACCTGCTTCCCCCCAGCCTGAGCAACAGCTGGTCAGAAGTGGTTCAGAGATGGGGCTCCACAATGGGTTCTAATAGCAGCAGCCTTGTCCCTGCCTGCCCCCTGCCCTGCCCCAGGGGTCAAAGGGAGCTGAGTGAGGTGCCTAGGAGGTCGGTGGCAACTCTTCCGCACTCTGCCGCAGACGCTTCTTGGCTCGGATCTCATTCATGGCCTCTTCAATGGAGCGTGTGTCCCTCTTGTTGGCCACAGGCACTGGGGACGGAGGGGAGAGTGGGGTGGGCCTAGGAGCCCTGTGTCATGGCCTCTCCTCCCCTCTCCCCACCCTATGATCTTCTCCTTAGCTACCCCCAAGCCCACACTGTAGACTCAGACTCACCACAGCCGTAGGTTTTGTTGGCCTGAAGCATGTGGGCTGCATCCTTTGCTGCCCCCTTGCCAATGAGGTGGCTGTACTTGTCTTTGTAGTCACTGGCAGGGCTCACCACCACAGGTCCCTTTTGGGCCACCTCCTCCTCCTGCCGCTGTGCCAACTCCTAGGGGTACAGAGGTGGGGCACTGGTGGTCAGTGGCCAGACCCCAACCCCTCCCAGGTGCTGTGCTTCACGGACTGCCAAACACAGCTCACCTTCAGTTTCCGTTTCTCCTCAGCTTTCTGGGGGTCCCATTCCTCTCCTCTACGGTAAGAGTCTAGCTCTTCATCTGAGGGTGCAAACTCCTGGAAAAGAAGGGAATGATGGGGTCAGAGGTCCATATAAATGTTTAATCTCATTCCTTTCCCCTTCATGGGGTATGGAGATAGGCTGAAAAGGGGACAGGAGAGAGTGAGGAACTCAGGCCTTTCACCTTTTTGAAGATCATGACATAGCGACATTCATCATCTTCCCCGAAAGAGAAAGATGTCAGGCCAGCCACTTCCACCACATCGTGTCTGGGAAGGTACAGTAGATGGGGAAAGAATATTTTAAGTTAAGCCTTAAGGGGGCCTAGTGCCCACCTCTCGAGAGCCCCAGATTTGCCCCTTCATGCCCCCCTAGCCACCCATTTCCTGCCTCCCCCAGCCCAGACACACTCACAGTATGCTCCTCTCTATCTTGTTCATTGGCTGAAATTTTTTCTTGATCTGCCCACTGTCTTGGATGAAATCTGACACCTCCTTCTCCATCTTAGGCGAGGGAAAAGGAATATATGAGCAATAGCTCCACCAAATGTCCCTCTCCCCAACTGAGCCAATGACCCTTCTATACCGCCCCAACACCCTCCCCAGCCTTCATGCCACTGGCTTTAAGACTTCACCTCTCTCAAGACATTTCCAGCAAAACTGAGTCCTCAACCTTCCAATTCTAACTTATTGGAAGTCCTTCCTGAAGCTGCCTTTGATTTCTCCAGTTGTTCTCACCCTTTTACGAAACTCCACTTTCTGTTGTTTCTCTTGCTCCTGTAGTTTCTTCAGGCGGGCAGCCTGCTCTGGGAGTGAGAAATGGCAGTATGAGGCCAGGGCTGGAAGTATGGGGGGCAGGGATCGTTTGTAAGGCTTCAAGCAAAGAAGTTTGGTCCACTGGGAAGTGTTAGGCATAGAAGGCAAGATTACTGTTTATTCACCAAGTATTTATTTATTTATTATTATTATTATTTTTTGGTAGAGACAGAGTTTCACTTTATTGCCCTTGGTAGAGTGCCGTGGCATTGCACAGCTCACAACAACCTCCAACTCCTGGGCTTAGGTGATTCTCTTGCCTCAGCCTCCCGAGTAGCTGGGACTACAGGCGCTCACCACAACGCCTGGCTATTTTTTTGTTGCTATTTGGCTGGGGCCAGGTTTGCACCGCCACCCTTGGTATATGGGGCGGGTGCCCTACCCACTAAGCCACAGGCACCACTCTATTTACCAAGTATTTATTGATGTTTATTATAAACAGTGATTCCCCCTTATCTTCAGGGGACATGTTCTAGAACTGATAGTAGATGATTGAAAACTCAGATGGTATTTTCCTATACATACACATCTATAATAAAGTTTAATTTATAAATTAGACCCAGTAAGAGATTAACAATAGTAAAATAAGACAATCATAACAATATACCATAATAAAAGTTATGTGAATGTGATCTCTCTCTCAAATATCTTATTGAATGTAGTATTTTCAGAATACAGGTAACTACAACCTCAGAAAGCAAAACCTTACATAAGGAGAGACCAGTGTTCCAGACACTGTGCTAGATCCTGAGATACTAAGATGATTAAAACATGGTGTGGCTTCTCAAGAGTTCAAAGTTTAGTGAGAGCAACAAAGATCAGAATCATCCTTAACCCTCTTTCCTAACTCCACCAGAGAAACCAATTAACACTTATTTAATGCCCACAACATACAAGGAACTATAAGGCATCTGGGGAGATGAGAACTGACTAAGCCCCTGGCCTGAAAGAGTTTATCATCTCATTGTCTACATAGGAAAGGGGAAATTATTTAACTTCCTATATTTTGTAACACCCTTCACTTCCCACTTCTACAGACAGGATGAAGCTGTAATGGCTAAACTGACACCCTTCTCCTTTGGGAATATAGGTGTCCAAGTTTAGCTGGAAAGGAACTCTGCATGCTTGAGTCTTATTTAACATTCCTCCTCCTCGTCAGTTCCCTCCTCTGTACCAGGTCTTCTCTGCCTCTAGAGCAGGGGGTGCATTTCTAACCTGGAGCCTCTAACCCTAACCCCTACTCTTACCTGTCTTCCCTCATGTTGTGATTTTACTGCCTCTATGAGATTTGGGCACATGCCTCTTCCTACTCCTGCTCAGCCTGAAATGCCTCTTCTCTCTTCTGCCATTCCAAATCCGTTACATCCTCAAGACCCACTTCTTCAACAGGATCTGAGTCCTCTCCAGTTACACTGAAGTTCTTATTTTTTTAATCTCTGTGCTAGGCATATGTTGTTCCTTCTGCTTGGAATGCTTTTGCTCCTTTGCTCACATTGAGATCTTCCGTGAATAAAGTTACTCACATCTTCTTCTGGGTTCAGACATCCACTACAGCATGGACTGAGAACTAACATAATGCAACTTTTTTTTTTTTTTTTACAGATAGAGTGTTGTGGCATCACAGCTCACAGCAACCTCCAGCTCTTGGGCTTAGGTGATTCTCTTGCCTCAGCCTCCTGAGTAGAGGAGGGACTAGAGGTGCCCGGCTATTTTTGTTGTTGTTGTTGTTGTTGCAGTTTGGCAGGGGCTGGGTTCAAACCCTCAGTATATGGGGCTGGCGCCCTACTCACTGAGCCACAGATGTATCCCCATAATGCAACTTTTTGTCTACCCTAGCAGACTATGAGCTCGTGGAAGGCAGGGACTCTTTTCATTTCCTGTTCAGTGATCTTCTGGGGTTCCAGAGCCTCACAGCTTAGGAGGTTCTCTCTGTCCTCAGCCAACATAGGTGCATCTGATCTTGGCCACTGACTGTTCTCTAACTGGTTTTTGAATCTTCTCTGCATTATTATTTTTTTTAAAGATAGAATCTCAAGTTATTGCCCTGGGTAGAGTGCCGTGGCGTCATAGCTCACAGCGACCTCAACCTCTTGGGCTTAAGTGATTCTCTCTCTTGCCTCAGCCTCCCAAGTAGCTGGGACTACAGGTGCCTGCCACAACGCCCACCTATTTTTTGGTTGTAGTTGTCACTATTGCTTGGCAGGCCTGGGCTGGATTCGAACCTACCAGCTCTGGTGTATGTGGCTAGTGCCCTAGCCACTGAGCTACAGGCACCAAGCCCTTCTTTGCATCTTGGCATAAGATTATGGTTAAGAATATAGGTTTAGGCTTGGCGCCTGTAGCTCAACCGGCTAGGGCGTCAGCCACATACACCTAAGGTGGCCGGTTTGAATCCAGCCTGGACCCACCAAACAATAGCCAGGCGTTGTGGCGGGCACCTGTGGTCCCAGCTACTTGGGAAGCTGAGACAGGGGACTCGCTTGAGC